GGGCACAGCTGGCACTGCATGGGCTGGCAGGGCTGTGCCAGCCCCAGGGATTTGGGGATTCTGAGAAACACAGCTGGGGGATGCTGGCAATGACTGTGGAAGGATTTGGGGCTGCAATAGGGCTCAGTCCTTCCAGAGCAGCTCTGGCACCAGGGGATTTAGGGGTGGTTTGGGAGGTGCAGCCACCAGCAGGGCTCAGCTGGGTTATCCCAAATGCTGAGTGGCAGGAGAGCCTGGGGGAAAATGGGGGAGAAATGGCTCAACTGAGAAAAACTTTAAACTGGGAGAGGGGCAAGCCAGTGAGGGAGTCCAAAAGTAACTGTGGCAAAGTGTAGCTTGTGTGGAATACAATATAAGGTTAGAGAGATACAAAGTGAGATTAGATGGGATTTTGGGCAGAAATTGTTCCCTGGCAGGTTGGGCAGCCCTGGCACAGGGTGCCCAGAGCAGCTGGGGCTGCCCCTGCATCCCTGGCAGTGCCCAAGGCCAGGCTGGGTGTGGAAGGTTCCTTGTCCATGACCTGGGGTGGATGAGCTTGGGGATCCCTCCAGCCCAAACCATTCCATTGCTCCCTGATGGGGGAACAGCTCTGGATGCACCAGCAGGCACAGGGAGAGTGGCAGGAGCTGCAGAGCCACCACAGGCACACCTTTGGTTCCTGTGTCCCATCTTCAGGCCACAACTCAATTAAATCCCAATCAGTGGCTCATTAACCCTCCAGTGTGAGCAGACACTCCAGCAAACTGGGGACAGCAATGAAAACAGAAGCCTGTAAGAGTGAAAATTAATCAAATCAATGTAATTAGCAAAGGGAAGAGAAAATTCCAGATAGTTGTGGCTGTTCTTTAGGAGTTAGAGCAAGAAAACTGTGAAAAACAGATGTGCTCTTCCTCCAGGATGGCAGGGTGGGAAGAGGTGACACAGGCAATGCCAAAATGATTGATGGCTTTTTCTCCTCACTCCTCAAGGAGAATGAACAATGGTCCATTGAGTAACCATGAAGAACAGAGAGAACAGAGCAGAACATTTCAGCAAGTTGGGCTTTTTCCAGCCAGCCAGACCTGGCAGAATGCAGCTGAGGGGACGTGGAGGACTGGCTGGATCCTAGAGGAACCCACAAGGAATCCCTTCCCACACCTGGAAAGGGGAAGAGCAGGGACAGGTGCTGCAGTCACCTGGATAAATAACCCAGCTTGGGGAATGTCAGAGGAGAAAACAGCCCAGCTTGAATTCCTGGAAATTTCTGGAAACAAATAATGAAACAAAGTTTTCTTTTATGCATGGGAAATAATGAAATGATAAGTGGAGGCCAAGAATGATTTGCCAGGAACAAATCCTGCCCAGCCAGGCTCATTTCCTCCCCTGACAAGTAGCAGCTCTTATGGACAATAGATATTGCATATCTTGACTGGAGCGAGGCTTTCAGCGCTGCCTCCGCTCGGGGAACTAAAATGAAACCATTGTAAGGTGGACTCAGCTGTTTGAAACATCAAAAACCCTCCAAGATGGATTGTTGTTGGTGTGGAAACATTATGGAAAGTGTTTTTGCAGGTGCCCTGCCTGGGGTTTGTGCCATTCCCTGTTTTCCTTGTGTTTTGGAGGATGAAGGATTGAGTGGGAAAGTTCTTCTAGGATTAACATCCTGATCCTTGAAGAAATGGTGTAAAAACAGCAGGATTCAGTGCAAGTGTAAACTCAGTTTTACATAAAAATAAACCCCCTCCCCCAGTGGAAGGAGCCAACAAGGCAAAAAACCTGGACAAAAACCTGTGGGGATTTTGGAAGAGCTTGAGCTCCCTTGAGAATTAACAAATGTGTGGGAAAGCAAGGACTGGCCTGAAATGTCTAAACAGGCTGGTTGGGATGTGTGGAATAATTCCTGCACTCCCACTCGGCCCTGGGGAGGCCTGAAAGTGAAAAATGAATGATTCCCTTTGGTCACTGAACTGGAGAAACCCCAGCCTGGTCTCCAACTTCCTCACGAGGCCAATTAGGGAAAGTCCTCAGAGCACAAAAAGGTGCTGAAAATCTGTAAAAAAGCTGACCCTGAAGGGAAACCTCAAAGATCTGGGTTTGTTGGTTTTAATCTAGAGAAAATAGGACAGAGAAGAAACATGATAAGAGTCTTCAAATATGTAACAGGTAGAAGGCAGCAGGAAACTCTCAATGCTTGGAGGGGAGCAGGGAGCTTAAACAATATCCAGAATTACAGTTTTTACTGGATTTAAGGGGAAACTTCCCAGTTAGGGAGTTAAGGGAGCCTTGGAGAGCATTGAGGGCATTAAATGCAGCTGGAAAAAGCACCACAGATTATTGGGGTGTTGGGGAAGCCCCAAGGGAAGAAGCTTTGAGGTAAATGTACCTAAAAAGCTGCAGAAATGGATTTGAAGGGCTCAGGTGACATCTGGAGCTGGAGACATCCTGAGGGTGCTGTCCATAGGTGAAGCATCTCTCAGCTCCCAAAAAGTCCTTTCCAGCAACTTCAAAGCAGGAAAAAAAGAGAAAAATCAGCTCTAAGATGTAAACATTGGAAGGTTTTTGACTCCCAGATAATTTCTTGAGGTCTCTTTGTGCCTCCAATCACTGCACACAGACACAGACGGTGCCAGAATGGCTGCATTTCTGCTTCAGTGGTTTCCTGCTGCAGGTGAGAAAAGGGATGTTAGGCTGTGCTGGTGCAAAAATGAATAAATAAAGATAGAGAAAGAAAGGAATAAATCAAGGCAGGCTGCATCCTGTGCATTTCTGGCAAGAGCAGCCTGCAATCCCATCACCTGGGAGACAACCAGGGACTGGCACTGCTGCTGTGCCAGGGAACGAGAGGCTTTGTCAGGAACCTGAGGGGTGGCTGTGCTTGGATCCCTCTGCACTGAGGAGGCAACAGAGCCCAGGCAAGGAAATGAGGAGCAGCAGAGGTACTGAGAGCTGGGAAGGGGCTGAGGGAGCTGGGAAGGGGCTGAGGGAGCTGGGAAGGGGCTGCAGAATCCCTGAGGAGCTGGAAGGGGCTGCAGAATCCCTGAGGGAGCTGGAAGGGGCTGCAGAATCCCTGAGGGAGCTGGAAGGGGCTGCAGAATCCCTG